GTAAGAATTCTTTTGCATTTGCAATAAAAGTAATATAAATTATTACATGATGTAAATACTGAAATAAGCTTTCTTGTTTCCCTACTTTAGTTCAGACAAGATTTTAGATGCTTTTTTTACAAAAACATGCAATTAGTATTGATGAAAACCATTGCAAATAACGATGTTCTAATTCTGCTGGTTAATAGTGAATGTGGAATATTAGACTGCAACCAAATGTTCCAAATGAAAACTGTTCGTTTGTGTTGAGCAGACAAAACTGTTTACAGAATTCTGTACATTTGAAAAACTCTTGATTTTTGACACTATAGGTCAGTGGTGGCTAACATTTTTGGGCTCCTGTGCCAAAAATTCTGTGTGCACACTGGCGCGTGTGTGCTAACATGCCAACACCCAGAAGGGAATGCACGCGCCCTGCCTCATGTTCATGAGCATGCAATCTCCCCCGACGCCCCCCCCCACACCACTGCCCCCTATGTCCCCTTACCTGCACTGCGCCAATGGGCCTATTTGGCCTGCAGAGGCTTTTTTCAAGCCTCTGGGAGGCCGAAAAAGGCCTCAAACCAGCCGAAAATCAGCTGTGAGGCGCAGTGAGGTAAGTTTGCCTGCAGCTCGCATGCTGGCTCAAATGGCTCCGTGTGCCACAAGTTCGCCATCACGACTATATGTAGTCCTTGAGTTACACCAACAATTGGATTGGGATTTCCATAGTTGCAGTAGGAGTGATAAAGCACAATATCATGTGATGCACTGCTTAATGACAGCAATCCTGTTACTCTCAGTTCCTATCATAACCCCAGGTTGTATGAGTTATTGAGCGGGGAAAAGCAGTGGGAAGGTGCAGGTGCCATGGGAGTGGTGGAGGTGCTGCAGGCAAGCACTAGAGAACTTAGGTAGGTCAGCAGAAGCTGGCAGAGGCCTCAGGTGGGTCAGCGGAGGCTGCTTGGGGTGACCTTAGGTGGGTCATCGAAGGGTTCAGGAGGGCGAGGTGGTGCTGCAGGCACACTATGGAGTGTGGATAAACAGGGGTGCTATGAAGTAACAGATTCCTCAGAACTGGCACTCTGTAACAGGCTCCTTGGGAGGAAAAGCTGTGGGAGCAACTTTCTAGGGCAACTTGCAACCTTCCCCGCTGGTTTCCTCATTGATTTTGCTTGTAGGAAGCCAGAAGGGAAGATTGCAAATGGCAATCACATGATGTGGCTCGCTGCGATGTAATTGTGAGCCAGGCATCTGAGTGTGCAATCACATGACTGCAATGGCTGGAATTTCAAAGAATAGTCATAAATCCACTTTTTAAATACTGCTGTAACTTTGACCTGTCACTGAATGAATAGACTAAGTCAAGAACTATCTGTTATCTTTTAGTGTTTGCAATTAATTGTATTCATTTAAAAACCATGTAGTAATAAGTACTTGAGAATCCAGAATTATTAAATCAAAATAGTGCAGATGGACTCAAGGTTTAAATTATTCAGTTTACATTATGTTAGTAAATATTGAAGCAATGCCTCTTCAATTGTTTTACATGTTGTTTTTAAATAACCTACTCGGTTTCCTAAGAAAATTCAAATATTTTTGAGTAAACAAAGATGTATTCCTATACCATAAGTACACTTGCTTGCTCACTTGCACATCAAAGCAAAATTGTATAGAATTGTGTCTAAAATACATGTATTCTTCTAAATGTGTAGGATTCCCAGCGAGGGCATCAAATATGATGGATCATCAAGCTAAGGGCCATCTACCTTATTTAGACCAGTTCTTACTTCTGTAGTTTTCTCACTGCCTTCCAGCAAAACTAACTGTTCAAACTAAGCAAAACTGTCCTCTGTTTGTGCAGCACAAACTTATAAGTGGGAAGGCCTAGAAGTTAATAGTATGAAATAACATATGAAAGTAGATACAGAAATTTCCTTTTCTAGCATTAACATGTAATTTTTAAAAAGTTAATCTACCTTTTCATATAATATATAATAAATCAAAACACTTCTTGCTTTCTTCTGAATCGCATTTCATGTTCTTTTTTTAAAAAAAACACATTTTATTAATTTTCAAAGACAATACATAAACAAACAAAACATAAAACATAAGAACATAAAACATCTTTTCTAAAAACTTCTTATTGAGTTTTAACAAAACAAATAAAACATCTTATTTGAGTACAGCATAGTTCCAAATTATCACATTTCCATACAAACACAATTTAATATGCATATTCGTCTTATGTATTCAACTTCATATCTTATTACTCTTTTTCCAACTTCTCACTATTTCTTCCTTAACTTCTATTCAAATATATTTCTTTTACCTAAATTTCTATATCTTTTTATTCATTGTACTTATACTTTCATCTGTCTTATTTACAATTTCATATGTTCTCTTCCAACATTCTTCCAAAATTTTATTAATTCTCAATAAACAAACATAGACAAACAAAACACATAACATGAAAACATAAAAGTTCTTTTTAGAAAGCGGCTTAACCCCAAGTTACATCTTTTTGTACAGACATAAATCAAATTCATGCTCACCTTATATACTATTTCATATCTTATTTAACATTCTACATTTTCTATATGCCTTCTCCCCTCTTTTCACTCTCTTAATTCTATTTTATTTACTTCATCTCAATTTAAATCATTATACTTGTATCTTTTGTCCGTTCTTTTTCAATTATCTATTTATCTTTTCTCTAATACAAAATTTCTCCTGTAATCACTGGTTGAAGTATGATGCCTTTCTATCTTTCCCCTAAATTTAACACTTAAAATAATATATAATTTCCATTCTGATTCTGCTTAGTACGTTCTGTATAATACATTTAAAAATAAAAAAATAATAAGCTTATAGTAAAAACAATGTTCCATAGCAAATTAAACTCTATTATTAAATCTTAGACATTTTACACATTCCCTTTAATATTCTATTAACACATATAATATTTCAATTTTCTAACTCTATTTCAAATACAAATACTACAATACAATCTTATGTACTTTTGCAGAATCTCTTTTTAAATTGTATTTTACCCTTTGTCTCTAAAAAAAACCCTGTTTTTTAACATCTTGTTTTAAGCCTTTATAACTTCTCTTCCCCTTTTCCCCTCCTTTCTTGTCGAATCTAGCCTTTTTACCCCCGCATCTCTCAATCTCCGCCCTTAGTCTCCCCTCTCTGTCGTATTCCTCTTTTCTGTTGCTTTCTGACATTATATCGATTTTTCACCTTATTTTTCCCTTTCTTGGTTGTTTTTTTAGATCTCGAATTCTCCATTTTCTTTACCCTTTTTCCCTTTTCTTCCTCAACTAAAATTGTTTGTCCATTAAAGATGGCTTCTTCTTCTTCATCATCCCAGCTTTCTTGTTGCTGTAATTCCTGATAGGTAGAAATCACCATTTCTAAGAAGTGAAAAACAGATCCAGAAGAGCCCTTGCCTTCTTGTTCCTCTTCTTTTAGCTTTTTAAATTCCATTTTCAATTCTTCAACAGATAATGCCATTGTGAGATTTTTTTAAACAACCCAAATGTTTTTAGTCTTTTCAAAAAATAGTTTGCAAAAGTCCCAAAGTCATCAAGCAATCCAAATCAACACAAACTGTTTCATTTAGCACTTTCTTCTTTTAATACTTTCTCTTCCTGGGGTAGAATTCAATTACACAGTTCCAAAATGATTTTTTAGAAGTCTTATTGCAGTTTATCTCTGATCTTATAAGCTCCAAGCAGTCTCCTCCAGCAAAATCTTAATATAAATCATTTACCTCTCCCTTCCCACTTATAGCAAAAAAATAATAATTTTTTAATTCCAGTGTTGAGAAATCTTTAATGTCCCCTTGGCTTTAATTTTCAAAATTAATTACCTACTGTTGCCAAAGTGGGTTTTTCCGATTTCCATCTGCTATCTCCGTAGGGAAGGAGAGTGAGAAAAAAATAACTTTCCCTTTTCACTTTCATCCGCTGCTTTTTACGATTTTCTTAGGAAACAATGTATCATTTAAAAAGTTAAATTTCCAGGGTATTTAGATGTTACTTGTCCTGGTTCAGCCAAAAACTTTCACTTTCTCAACTTCCTCCTGCACATTCTTGTCTGGCTGAAAGGTTCTTTGGGGCGGCCATTGCTGACCACTGCTCCACCGCCTTTGGAAAAGGGAGTTAAGCCGGCTGAGGAGAGGGGTTACGATACCCCCGGACCCCTGCCCAGATCTCCCCTGTCTTCAGTTATCTCTACGGGATAACTATAGCCTCCAAATCCAACTGGATCGGAGGCACTCCAGCAGCGAGCGCAGCAGGAACCGCACACAATCGCGGATTCCTGCCGCCGCCGAAGCCTTACAAACCGGAACTCACATTTCATTTTCTTGAGTTAGGGTAGGGTAGGCAGTTTGCAGGCTGCCCTATTCTACACTGGTATCAAAGTAAATTTTCCAGTACCAGATCTGCCATCTTCTTTTCTGTTCCTGCAAAATATACTCCTGAGTATTGTAAGGAGAGAGAGAACTTCAACTGATAGAAATACTTGATGCCTTTCCTTAATCTTCTCATATAGTTGCAAGTTCCCATTTCTTTAGACTGTACATTTATTAGTAAGGAATTAATGCAAAAGGTTTCTACAAACTATCTGCCCTTTCTTTATCTCTCGATTCTTTTGCTCTGATACCTATTTGATAGCACATAGCTGCCACAAAGATGGTAATCTAATTTTAACTCAACTGAAACAAAATTCAGTAATGGAAAAATTAAACTGAATGTTAATTCACTAGCTTGCTTGTGGAAAGTAAAAGGCAAATGGAAAAACACCAAGTATAGGTGTTGGGGAAGAAGTCTTGATTGATGAATAATGAATGAATAATTTATTCACATCTACCATATGTTTGCCCAGCTTTTTTATGAATATATCTAAATGCCAACTTAAAACAAGAAGGGAGAGTGATTTGGTGTGAATCTGTGCTGGGGCTCAGTTGAACTTTCCAGCTATAACTCAAACCAGTCTCTTTCTCTCTGCAGATACCTGAAGGAATTCCGCACAGAGCAGTGTCCCCTGTTTGTGCAGCACAAATGTACTCAGCACAGGCCCTACACATGCTTCCACTGGCACTTTGTTAACCAGCGTCGTCGCCGATCTATCCGCCGTCGGGATGGCACCTTTAACTATAGCCCTGACATTTACTGCACCAAATATGATGAGACCACAGGGATCTGCCCTGAAGGAGATGAGTAAGTTACTCAAGGCTGTATTTTACTTGACCTGACGGAAAGTCCAGTCCATATTAACAGAAGAAAATTCATAAATTCAGCTTTTAAAAACTTTGAGAGAAATATATATATATATTCCTCTCAAAGTGAAAGGCTATGTTTCAAAGTTTTGTGCTTTGGAACAATTCTAGAGAAATTTGTGAGATTTATCATAAAATAATTGTTTAGAGGATTGAATCCTTACATATGTCCTTAATTTACAAATGGAATTATTTTCAGAAGGAAACAAATGCTGGATTTTTCAACTCTGATGACTCTTTATCTAAAAGGATTTTATTTTTTTTGGTTGGAAAGCATGTTTGAGATTTTAAATTTCTACGAGCTCTTTCTTTTTCTCCTTCCTCCTTAGGTGTCCATTCCTGCATAGAACTACTGGTGATACAGAACGGAGATACCATCTACGTTACTATAAAACTGGAATCTGCATCCATGAGACTGATTCAAAAGGAAATTGCACCAAGAATGGCCTTCATTGTGCTTTTGCTCATGGACCACATGACCTACGTTCTCCAGTTTATGATATCAGGTGGGTAGGGAATAAATTTTGTGATATTTACTTGCTAAATCTAAATGGAAATCCTGGAATTTAAAATGGAGGTAAGAGTAACTGCAGGGAAGGGGAATGGAGCAGGGAGGGCAGAAGAACCCTGTCTCTTTAGATTTTTTTTCCTTTCCAACAAGTCTTTACGTCTGCTGGAAGAGAGAGACTGTCACCAGTTTTTCCTCTTCTCTTGGATACTGGAGAGGAATAAAACTAAGCAGTGGAAGTTAGTAGGAATAGCAACTTCATCGAATATGTTCCTACCTGAGCCTTAAAAAGAAAAACAACTTTGATTGCTTGGCCTATTTTGTTTTCCCTTACCAGCCAAACTAAAAATGGTCGTGGAGCTATAGAGCCCTAAGGCATGCATAGGAAATTGAACTGTGTTTTCCATGGGAAAACATCACTTTTTTTCCCAGAACAACAGGCTGGCACTGAGATGGAGGCTTCGTGGTAAGAATACATACTCAACAAACGGCACACCATTTTGGCACTAGGTTGAGGCAGATGTGTGAATGAAGTCAAATTATCATCAAGCATCTGTGAATACAGTTGGAGGTACATGAGAAAGAAAAAAATCTTTTTTCATTCTCCTCAACCAACTGCTTCTTCCATGATGCAGCCAACAGACATCTGGGATCTGAGGGAGAGGAGATGCCCAAGGGGAGAGAATAAAATCAGAGGAAACAGTTAAGAGCTGTAAGTTCTGCAAATCACCCTTTTCCATTGCAATTTTGGTGGTGATGGTTTCTTTTCCTAGGCTACCTTTTACCTCAGCTTTTAGTAGGAATCTAAATGTTATATAGAAATATTTTTTTCGAAAAAGCCAATAGGCACATACGTTTTCCTTTGAGTATCTGTACCTGCATAATTATAATTCATCTATGTTCCCCAAGGGAGCTTCAGGCCATGGAAGCTTTGCAGAATGGCCAGACCACATCAGAAAGTGGCATAGAAGGTCAGTCTGCAGTTGCTGCTAGCCATGCTATGATAGAGAAAATACTCAGTGAAGAGCCAAGGTGGCAAGGTAAGTTCCTTGGTCTTTTACACAGTACTGAATACAATTATACTTGAATTAGTCTATCCTCTAAAAAGCATCTTTGTATAGGAGTAAGTACGCTTAGGATTTTAATTGACTAATTATACTTATTTTCACAGACACAACATATGTTTTGGGAAACTACAAAACAGAACAGTGTAAGAAGCCCCCACGCCTCTGTCGCCAAGGTTATGCCTGCCCTTATTATCATAATAGCAAAGATAGAAGAAGGAGTCCTAGAAAACACAAATACAGGTACAGTGCTTCAAAACCTGATTATAAAGGGCCAAGATTTTACATTTTCTTCATTTGGATAGTGACTTTACTCTAATCTCAGTGTAATAAATACATCAATCATGGTGGGAAGATTGCATTTCATATTAAGTAGTTAATTCATGGATCAGGATTACATCTGTGTAGGATGCTACCATAAGTAAGGATTACAGTGTATGTGATTTAAGCCTGTTGCACTCAAATATGATGTCAAGATAAAAAAGAAAATAATCCTTGTGCAAAATAAGTTCGTATATGAGTAGGTGGCTTTCTTTGTTATGAAGGGATTTCCAAGTTGTAGTTCTCAGCATTTTGCCCCATTGTAATTGAATTCTAAGAATTAATCAGGGAATACTTATTGAGATGCAACTGTTCTGTTATGATATTCAGAATATTGTTTCCTCATGAAAACTGGAATGAACCTCAAACCTAATGGCCTCAGAGTGAAAACTCTGAGATAGCACCTTTCTGAGTGTATTTCAAGAAAAATCATTATACCACCTAATCATATGCTGATTAGCAGTTCTTTATCTCGTTTGCTTACATTCATGCTGCCATGAGCACTATTTTGAGAGATGTTTCAGGGCTCAGCTATAACCCAACTACATATTTATAAATATTAGCTTGGGCCAATTTGAATTAAATAGAAAATTTCTTTTAGCATTCTTTGATAAAGTGCAATTTGTCCTTCTTGAGGAAGTCTAGCAAATAGTAAAGGTACTCAGTGCCAGAAATTAAGCTATATAAATATTGTAGATACAGTTACTCTGTTTGGCTCAAAAATTATAGGACTTTCTAATTTGTTCTTTTTTCTGCCTATTGCTAAAGATCCTCCCCATGCCCTAGCGTGAAACATGGAGATGAGTGGGGAGATCCTAGTAAGTGTGACAATGGAGATGCATGCCAGTACTGTCATACCCGTACAGAGCAACAGTTTCACCCAGAGGTAAAGACTCTTCCTTGTTGGGCATTTACATAGACAAATGCAGCAATTACACAATTTACTGAAGATGATAAACAATATAATACTCATGCTAATTACTGTTTTGATTGCCTCGGAGGATGATTTACACCAGAAACTAGTTGAGGGAATACATTGGTTTGTCTTCTTGGTGGCTTTTGATACCATCAAGCATGGTATTCTACTTGACCATCTGGCAAGATTGTGCCTTGGGAACACTGTTTTGCAACAGTTTTGGTCCTTCCTGTCAGAAAGTGCTGCAGGGGGACTATGGTTTGACCTTCTAGACTTATAGTGCCCCATAGGGCTTGGCTTATCCTCCTGTGCTGTTTAAAGCTACATGTAACTTCAGAAGGAACTCATTCAGAGCTGTGGCAACCTGCTCAATTCCTCCCTACCTTCTAATTTCAAGATGCAACTGGTCTCTTTGAAGTTTGCTCATTTTTATAATAGACTGGATGACAGAGAACAAGCTGAAGTTAAATCCAGAAAATGGCAGTGCTCTTAATAAGGAAACACTTCGGTTAAGGAGAAAACTAGACTCCTTAAAACTAAACTAGGTGAAGCCTCTTCTGTAGCCTCATGAAGATATAGAGGCTTTACAGTCAGGGAAAAGCTTTCTCGTGTGTGCTTCCCAGGCTATGGAATGACTTCCCCCTAAAAAGAGCTGGGTTTTTATTTAAAAAGATTTATGTTTTATACATGCATGTTTTATTGTTTGTTTGGAAATATAATGTATAGATTCAATAATATATAAAATATGAGTTCAATGCATCCTGTTTAAAAGCCTTTCTGTTGTTTAGAGATTGTGAAATTGCTTAGAAACTCACTAGAAAGATTTAAGATTGGGCTCCCTGACAAGGGTGCTTCTGAAATATACTAGAGAGTTCCAAGTTGAGGACAAGGCAGATTGATAGGAAAACAGCTTTCCAAAGGCCACAAAATCCCAGCAATTTAAAACAAAGTTGGGGGTGTGAAAGGTCTCACAAGGAGTCAAAAAACAATAAACTCAACTGTCCCGGAAAGAAGATGGCATGTGATCATAGTGACATGTAGGAACTATGCCAAAGCCATGTGTGGAAGTGCCAGGACGGTGTGGCTAGCAAATGATCCAGGACATCTGGATTGATTTCCATGTAATTGAAAAGTTTTCTTCTGAATTACTTCTTTTGCTGAAAATGCATTGCCTAAACTGAAATAGGCTTCCTGGTTAGCTCCATTTGATGGGACAATCTTTGAGTAAATTGCAAAGATAATTGACACTATGGTTTTACATGCATATTTAAGGATAAACCCTTAGAGCAGTGGCCCCCAACCTTTTTTGTGCCACGGCCCGGTACCGGCATCACAAAATGATCCGCGGCCCGGTACCGGCATCAGCACGCATGACAAGGCAAGGCGAGCCGAGCGACCGGCCAGCCAGCCATCCCCCACTTCTCCCCGCCACCTTCAACTCCTCCTTTGTACCTTTGTCGATGGGCTTCGCTTCGGGATGGCTTCGGGACGGTCGTTCGGCTCGCCTTGCCTTGGGTGCTGAAAGAATCCTCGCGCCTTAGTTTCGTTCGAAGCCCCCCCCTTCGATGAAACTAAGGCACGAGGATTCCTTCAGGACCCAAACGCCGCTTTCCAACCGGAAAAGCTCACCCGGAAGCACTTTCTCCTCAAACAAGATGGCGGCACCCAGCAAACCGGCAGCCTGGTAGGAAATGTTCCACGGACCGGGACCGGTCCGCAGCCCGGTGGTTGGGGAACCCTGCCTTAGAGGTTCTGTGTAAATAGCCATAGATTATTCTATAATTCAGTCCATATATTATTTATATGTATGCATCACTGGAAATAGTTCTTTAAAGATCTGAGGTATAATTCTATACGTATTAAATTCAAACATAGGCTGGGGCTCTGGTTTATATGCAGCTTTCAGTCAACCAGAGTCCTCCAAATTTTATTTTTAGAATGGTTGTTGTTTTTTTGCCTTCAAGTTAGTCTGATTTCTGGAGACAGCCTGGATAAATCCTTGCAGTTTTCCTAGCAAGATGTTTAGAAGTGGTTTGCTATTGCCAGCTTCTTAAAGCTGAGTGAGAGTCCATGATCACTCAATTAGTTTCATGTCTAAGGGCGGACTAGAACTTACAGCCATTCAGTTTCTAGCCTAGTGCCTTAAACCATCACGCCACTACTGGTTGTCTTTTTTGGAATGACAGGCAGGAAACATATATTATCCATATCTAAGTGATCGAGTTAATTAAATTATATTAAATTAAAATTTATTTATTTTAGATCTGCCTATTTTGTGCTTTGTTTTTTGGAATGCTGCCCATCCCAGTATGCTACTCAAAGACCCAGCATAGCCTCGGTCTCCAAAGACTTATGCAGTCTACATATAAAGCATATCCGAAACATCAAACTTTTTATTGTACTTCTTAATACATTTATCTCTTTCTAAATCCATTGCAAGCAGCTGAGTTTGAGCAGCTTCATCTTGTCCCAACTGTCTTTTTTGTTTTTTATTTTTCCCAGATCTACAAATCCACAAAATGTAACGATATGCAGCAATCTGGCAGCTGTCCCAGGGGACCCTTCTGTGCCTTCGCACATGTAGAACGTAGGTGGTCTTCTCTTGATGTAGCAATATTCTGTCTACTGAGTGTTGTCCTGAGTGTTGTTTAGAGTACAACATTACTTACTGTATTAAACAAGGCAAGTACAATTCTAAGCAACCAAACTTCCTTCTTCCCCATAATTAGTTATATGGGGAGACCTAAAAATAATATATAATGAATTTTATTTGAGACTGCATTTTTTTTAGAAGGTAGCCTTCAGTCATCAGATGGTTGATAGCTTTGCACTTTGTTCTCAAAGCAGAAGTGACACCCAGTGGCTGTTTAAGGATGCTGTGAATGATACTGTGTACTGTTTATTTTGAAGTTGTAATTTGCTATTGGTATAAGTTAATTCTGGGGAACAAAAAAGGAACAAGTGTTTTATTTATTTTTTACTATATTGTTTCTCATGCTCTTCCTTCAATTATGAAACAAGGGCACGGTGAAGGAAAAAAATGCAAACAATTTTAGAGCTTTTGATACTGACTGCTTCCCAACAATGAAGATATCTACAATTGCATTTGGAAATGCCTAGAGCATCCAGATGTTATAATTCAGTCATCCGTTTATATTGTCTATTTTCACTTTTTAACAAGGATAATCACTTGAGTCAGAAAAAGTTGGAACAGAAGCACAAACCTTCAAGAGATCACTCCCTGAACCCCTAGTTGCCATCATAGGCAGGAGTGATTTTTTTCACTCCTAAATGTGCATCACTTTTTGTACACTCCAAATCCCAGAATTTCAAAGTATTCTGGATCCATGATTTTTCAGATTAGGCCTCTTCCTGTCCACCTTTTGCATTGAGGATAGGATAAAGATTGTCAGCCTTTTCAAATGAACAATGGGGATATGCAAATCTCATGAAAGAACTCACAGCAGATAGGGCTTGTGTTTTGAGGGTTTGGCTATTTTTAAGCTCAAAACTAAATAAGCAGATTACTAACTGGTAAACAATTCTGTGATCGTATTATGTCCACGTTGAAAGATCAGTTATTTTTCAATCATAAATAAAAGCATTTTTAATTTTTGAAAACATACATAGTTTGGGGGTTGATTACATTTTTATTTCAATATGAACCTGCTTTTACGTTAGAGTTACTTTTAGGTCTTTTCAGGCGATATGAAAGGAATTTCAGCCAGACCTTTCCAGTATGATTCAGTTATTTAAAATGTTTATATTTTATTGTTAGTTGTCTTGAAGCCCCTTTAGGGAGAAAGGTGGAATATACATTGAATAAATAATCATAAGTGTGATAAACTAGGGCAGCATAAAGCCTAATTGAAACAACTACTATGAATATGTAACTGCTCTTCTTTAAGACTATTGGTATAAAGGAAGACGTTACATTCTCTGCCTTAGTTTTGTGATGCCTTTTTGTTTTTTCTGTAGTGGTTTGTAGATTGCTGTGTGTGGAAGATCTGCCCTTTAGAAGGGGTGCCAGGCATTGCTGTTTACCCTTTGCTCTTATAGAGTTGTTGTGAACCCCATTTTGTAATTATTTATCACGTGGTTTGTTTTGTTCTGTTTCCTATAGAACCACCACTTAGTGAAGATTTACAGCCAACGTCGGCTGTCTCTAGCCCAACGCAAGCTGGCCCTGTAATGTACATGCCCTCAGCAGCAGGCGATTCTGTTCCTGTCAGCCCTTCTAGTCCACAAGCCCCAGACCTTAGCAATGTATGTAAAATTGTTACAAAATTCCTCACTGAGCATGTGATACTGCAGTTCTCTCTAAATATAAGCTCTTTCTAAAAGAACATTGCTGACACTTTTTGATCCCAAAAGCTTGAGTTTATGTTTGTGAATAATGGCAACTGCTTCTACATCTTGGGTGTCCAACCTTTCAGCTTGCCTGGGCCACACTGAGTGAAGAGGAATTATTTCCTCAGATAAAATGTATAATATAGTGGATGTATATAAATAACACATAATAATGTTAAAAGTTTATGACTTTGAGGGGGTCACATTATTAGCTGTGTAGGGCTACGTGTGGCTTGTGGCCCACAGGTTAGATACATCTGTCCTAGATAAATTACTGGTTCAGAGCTAGCTCAGCATCTTTGTAACATTTAAATTGCACAAATTATGTTAGTTAGTTCTAGTTATTCCTCCACAGAATCTTGCCACTTTTCAATTGAACTGATCCAAACAATTTTTAGAAATGGAATTGCTATTACCTAGCATAACTTTTCACCTTGGGTGCTTTTGAAGAGTAGATTATAATACTGCATGAGATCTTACACATATCCCAGTCCAAATTTGTATCATACCATGACACATACTACATATGTAATATAGCTGACAGAAAGAGTAAAGCTGATTTTAATTAAAAATATGCCCAAGTGAGTGAACCTGTGTGTCTCCTAGAAATCTGTAGTCCATGTCACATGATGTGTTTCGTTTATCTTTGTACTGTAGGTATGGAATAAACCAGGAACGCTACCAACTAGCCCTACTTCTGCTACAGTAAGTATTCTCTCTAGGAAAAGAAACATTATTTTGAACTGAGGAACATATTCCTTCCATTATTGTGATAAGCATCTCCAAATTGCCTGTTTTCTGAAGCAAAACATATTTCATGGTTTTACTTCTTCCACTGTGAGAATTCCAAACCATTTTAAATATGAAAACATCAATTTTCAGTAAGAAATGTACTTGATTTTGCATTAGAAATTCATATGATCTATTGAGACTGTGGCAGTTCATGCGGTATCTGGATCTCTCAGAGTCGCAGAAAGCTGTTAAAGCATATGAACTACAGAGAACAATCAAAGTTGCAGTGAAGATATTCTCATCTTTAAAAATATGGCTTTGATGAAAAAATGCTCAATATTTCTAAGAACTGAGGCAAAATGTAATTATTTAGACTTTTATTAAATTGTATATCTTTGTATATCTCAGTAACCTGATTGAATTTAACAGTTTAGCTTTTAGAAGTTTACTATCAGCTGTGATACAGAGGTAGAGAGTGTTATAATCTGATACACAAATCATCTTCTTTTCTTCCTGCTTCTATTAGATCCTCTGTAGAAATAGCAGTCTTGGAAGCCCATCTAATTTATGTGGATCCCCTCCTGGTGCAATTGGAAAACCCCATAGTTTGGAAAGCATTGGTTTCCCCACAGATTCAGTAACTAGTGCAAGTAGCTATAAAAAGGCGCCCGGATTTGAACGGGAAGACCTGGTTGGAGCAGAGTATCTAAAAAATTTCAAATGCCAGGTAGGTATAAAATACTAGAAAAAGATATTGGATGTATGTATGCATATATGTATGTATGATATATAATATATTGTTTTCATTAATGATATATATTAGCTCTGGAACCAATTGTTAATACTTCATGCTAGATTTGAGGTACCTGTGAGTGCCTTAATATCTGCAGATAAACCCTTAGAATCTGCCTGTTCATCCTAATTTTATAAAACTACATTAATATTAGTTTTTTTTTCTATTGCAACTTGGATGCACTGCAAAATGAAGAGATGCCTTGCAGTATGCTTTTTACTTCCTTGGAATACCTTTTGTATTCCATAAGCAGAAAACCCTTATATGCCACGTGAGCCTAGTAGCATCATTGTTAAAAACTGACTATGATGAATGAATTGAAAGGCATGCATTCCTTTGAAGTGGTCCCAGGCATTCAGAAAAAAAGGAGAAAGTGGCGTGGCAAATACCTCCCTGTCTCTGTAATGGTGGTTATTATAAGAGTACTAACTTATGTGAATTGGTTTTAGGGCTGATATGCAGGCAAGTAATACATATTTGTTGCAAACTTCCTGTCATGGATCTCTCTATAGCAGTAGTCCCCAATCTTTTGGGCACCAGGGACCGGTTCTGTGGACTGGAGTCGGCGTGGTTTCACGTGCTATCTGCATCCCATGGATGGGGCTTACCTTGTTTGTGCAGACTGGTTTCTGGCATTCTGTGGCCCGGGACCAATCCACAGACTTGGAGTTGGGGACCTCTGCTATATAGTATTGCGGGAATCTAAGAGGTGCAGGTCATGAGAACTTATGTAAACGCAAGCAAGTATGAAGAGGCTTTTGAGCAAGAGATAATGACATTTCTAGAAAGGTTTTGTATTTTAAAGAAAAACAAATCTCAAAAGAATTGGAAGTCTGGGAAAGGACATTCAGAATAAACATATTTGTTCTATTTAATGTCAGTTAGACTTGGAAACTTCAGAAATGATTCATAAAATAGACCAAAATAAAAGTTATGCAAATATAAATTCATATTTTAGATAAGCAAATGAGAATTTATTCAGAATAGTTCTTGCTAACTGACTGCCTCATTTAATGACCAATGGGGGGGAAATCTTTTTTTCTTCAACAATTATGGCCATAATTCAAGCCCATTTCACTGATAATACAGTACTATTATCCTGTATTATGAAGTTAATCATACTGTTTCTAAAGTAATTTGTATCTTTAGGCATAGCCTATCCAGATTTTCCTTCCCCTTCACAGAACTTTTTAAATCTATATAAACAACATTGCCTTCCATTTGTTATCCCCATGTATTTCGCTATCATTTATCTCTTCTAGTTTTTTAAAAGTAGATGTTAAAGAAAAGAGAATATATCAGTACAATATGTTTCGTTTGCTAGTGTCAGGAATTCCTCTGGCCCTCTCCTTCGTAGTTTACAGAAAGTAACAAAATAAGAGAAGAAGTGCTGTAAACATCTGAAGAAGTTGACAATTTCAGTGGTATGTAATATCTTTTTCCCCCTTCTAATTACTGCAGCAGGCAAAAATCAAATCCCATTCCATGGAACATAGAACCCAAGAACAACCTCTGTTACAACCCAAGCAGGTACGTTACCCCAGGGGATGCTGCTTAGTTTCTAAAGGCCCATATAGTCTCATGTGTAGATTTCAGTTGGTGATATATGTGAAAAGCTAATTGGAAGTTGAAAGGATATTGACACTTTCCTAAGTGTTTGAGAATCAGTCTAGTTTCTTTCAGATTAAAAAAAAATGTAGTTGGTGTGAATAGATAATTATGAACTCAGAATTTTGAATACTGCTTGGACTAGATAGATTATTGGAGGAAGGTTCACTGCAGTTCACAAACCTTTAGTTTAGGCCTCCTTTGAATTTGGAATGGCAAGATTATACAGTCTTCATGAATTATATAAACTTGATGGTATGATGCAGCTAACAATGTACATGAACTGATTAACAATTAATCAGTGAAACGACTTGCTTCTAAAATTTGTGGGTGCTCCGACACTGGAGGTTTTCAGTGAAAGATTGGACCACCATTTGAAATGTTATATGGTTTCCTGCTCGAACTGGAGGTTGGATTAGATGACCTCCAAGGTCCCTTCCAACTCCATTATTCTGTTACTCTGTTCTAAAAGAATCCCAAACAGTCTTCCTTTATTGTGTTGTATTGTGTTGTATTAAATACTAAGAACCAATCAGCTGCCCTGAGTGTACCTTAGAATTAAAAGAAAAGATATAAATGTTAGGCAGAAATACTTACTTTATGGCAAGTACATCATTACTTCTCTCTGAATATTCTGTTGCATCATAGGAATACATGAACGTATTTTCAACACATCAATACATGAATTTATTTTCCTCTTTCAGGATATATTAGGGATTCTTCCAGTTGGCAGCCCACTGACATCTAGCATCTCCTCTAGCATTACTTCTAGTTTGGCAGCAACACCACCGAGCCCAGCAGGCACCAGCAGTGTACCAGGCATGAATGCCAATGCCCTTCCTTTCTACCCAACTAGTGACACTGTGGAGTCCGTGATAGGTAATACTGCCTATGCGCATTGATGGTGCAGGGAATCCAGAAGAAGCATATCCGTTATGGGTGGGAAGGCTTCGACTGTTTTATTTAAAGGACCTACAGTAGAAACTATGCTTTATTGCTTTGTGACTTGGCTGATGACTTATATTTAGTATGAACTCTTTCATATTTCATAAATTAAATTATAGAACAATCTTACATAACAAGTCCCATAGCTGAATTCTGTAAAAAAATATGGCAAAAACTACAAGCAGTCCTTTATCTTTTTAAAGGCTAATAAATTTATTGTGGAATAAGATTTTATACAACAATAAACTTATTGGATTGTGACACAGCTCTGCTGTTTTTGCTAGAGCAGACAATGTGACAGGATGGTCAGTGAAAGATCATGATTGCTCCTAAATCTCTGTGTATATGTGTGTGTAGATCTTGTTTGATGTTTTTCATCATATCCTATATTTCCTGAACTCATAAGTCACCAAATTGGCTCAGTGTGCCATTGTGTGGGCCAATCCACTAAAAATTCAGTCCTGTGACATATATAATCTGTTACTGAGCAGCTGTTTTTATAAATATTTTTAAAAGATGAAACTTTTCATTTATGACAGCAATAACAAAACATTTCAAGTGCAGATTTTAAAAAAGATTTTATTTACATTTCTGTTTAAGGGTTCATATGTTATCATATTTACATTTCTAAGACTTTCCAAGAAGAATAAGAGTGCAGATTGTACAAGGATTACCATTTCTCATTTTTAAATGTATTATTATTATTATTTTTATGGTTGATTGCATAGTCAACCAGATTTTTAAACTGGATTTGGCATTTTTGTCCACTGAATCCTTCCCAAGGACCTGGGAGAGACAAGTATTGTTTAATTATATTAAAGATATCGTCGCAGGATATATTCTGTTCCAAGTAAAGCTGCCTTTTGCAATTGACTATTATTATTATTGATATTGATATTTAGCATTGGTTGATACATGTCTCTTATTCTCCAGGTAACTTATTATCATTTTTATTAACTGTTGATGTTCTATTACAGGCCTGGAATGATACAAATAAAAGAGACAACTCTTGCCACTAAATTAAAACACTTACGAGGGATCTGGTGGGGAATATGTTTCTTAATTCTAGACAGGGACCTTCTTACACTTTCTAATAGGAAATTGCTGAGGAAATCTGAAACCCTTTTATGTGCTTTCTAAATGCTCTAGAAGTAACCTTCCAGGCAGTACTTTAAAACTGAATATAAACTATGCAGGAGGGTGAGGGAGGGGAACATCCATTTTCAGTATCTAAAACTGTTTATTATTTGTATTGTAGCCTTTATCTTTTTGAAATGACAAGAATGTCATGCATATAGCACAACCCATGCTATGCTTTATAAGACAACATTTGACAAGACATAATGCATTGGCTAGGAATACCCCCAGGGATGATCCTGTGCAGGTTTGCTCCATCTCATCCCCAACTGGCAGTGTCCGTGCTACATGGCTGGCTCATTATTGGGCCACTGCTAGCTATAGCCTGTTTCATAGGATATGCTAATTCATTTTCCCTCCCCCCCCACCTACACACAACCTCTTATATTACTGCCATACACACTTCCTTCTTTCCACTACCATACTTGCACCTCATTCCTATTGCCATCTCCTCTATCATTAATTGCAATCCAAGTTGCTCTCCACGGTGGAATTCCTAAATATAGGATTAGTGAATTCCAATCATTATGCATCATGGACACCTAGGTTGCCAGGTGACTGGGACGGGCACCTGTTATGAAAGCCAACCCTGGATGTACTTCTACCCAAGGTCAAGCTGTACAGCAGGTGTGCAGGGAGATCTGTTTTGCATTGCTGTTGTTTCCAGTGTCAATCTATGGGATCAGCCTGATACTGAAGAGACTTCGGATTCAGATCAGGCAATAGAAAGACAATATTGAAAGCTGAATCATTTAAACGACTAATGGCAGCCTTGCATTGTAGATTCTCCGGTCCAGAGCAGTGACATCTCTTTGTGAACTCTTTGGACTTCCCTTTCCCTTGTTGGTCCTTTTTGTAATATATAATTGGTGCCTCTGTCTGGCAGAGTCTGCCTTGGATGACCTGGACCTGAACGAATTCGGAGTGGCTGCCCTGGAGAAGACATTTGACAGCAGCTCGGTGCCCCACACGAGTGGCATCATGATAGGTACATGAAAGCAACAGAGCTTTCTTTGATCTTCTGCCAAGCAGGGTTTGCCCCATCAGCTGGCTGAAGCAGCCTAGCAAGCTCTCAGAACCAGCCCTTACATGACGTATTGGTTAAAGGCCAATGCGGGACCTTAGAGCCAAAGGACCCTCATTGGTTAGCAAATTGGAAATACCTTTCACTGGTTTCTGATGTCCCAATTACGTTTACGAAATAGGCATGGCTTATTTTGCTTTACAATATCTTAACAGTGGCACACTAAACATGTTCACAAAATTCTGACACAAGACTATCATGGAAGGGGCGGGGAATTGGTTTAAATAGTAGGAAACAAATTGGATTGGTATCACTGTTCTGCTGTCACAGGATCATGGCAAGGCATGTCGCCACACATTGACAAACTACCGCTTGTGTATCTCATCCCTTGTATGTGGTCATTTCAAACCAGTGTCTTTTTTATTTATTTTTTTGCTCCATGTCTGGTTTTCAAGTGAATATAGTCTATGCAACCTTGCTATGTTCTAAGTGTACAAATCCCATTAGTAATTGACAAAACATTTCTTTGTGCACTGAAACTATGTGCAAATCGGTAAGTGCCTTCGGGCTCACTGCTGCCACTACACTTTTTTAAAGGCACATCCATTAGCTTAAAACCACTTTGGTATCAGATGTTTTTTTTTAAATTGCAAAAGAGTTTGCAACTGTCTTTCCATCAACACATAGTTTTATTTCAGCATATCCTGTCCTTTAGTGTTGTTGCTTCAGATTTGAGTAGTTCTGCAAATTAGAATTCGCCTATCATGTGCCCAGTATATGTTCTGTTTTCTCAAAAAATGGTTCTACTTTGAGGAGATAGTATTCAACATAAAACCACTTGGCAGTGATACTGTGCCCATATTGATTTGGGCTAAGATCAGTTTGGAAATAAATAGGGAGAATATGGCCCCTTGTTGTTTTTCCTTTAGAGTTAGGCCTTATTCCTGCAAGCGGCATCCTCTTTGGTTTCATATATATGAGTGAGAAGTTGGTTTTTCAGTTTATCGGAAAACTTTGTTGCCTTGCAAGCCATCTCATATACCGTACCCAGAAGAACAAATTGGTTGGTCTACAGTTGCAACTTTTAGGGTAAAAGGAGGATGGGAAGTTCTGCGCCACATAGGAGTCCCTTTAATTTTGAAGCTTTCACAGGCAGTGCTATGTGTCCTCAAGCATTATTAAAACTGAGAAAAAAATTATTCCTGCAATACTAACAACTTTCATGGGCTAGTGAGTTTGATTTCTTTTCTGTGCCATGTAACTGGGACTCCTCTAGCCAAATGGGAAGGTGATTTACCCTGCTCCCATTCCTGGAGATGAAGCATAAATAATTGCTATGCTACCAGTTTACTGATCTCTTCTGCTAGAACATCTTATGACTGTGTTTCTGCATGTAGAAATTAAGCTCCGTTTTTTTTCCTTCGGCACAGTGCCTGAATACAGAAGTCTGTCCCATTTGCTATCTCTTAACAAACTTTTATCCTTACGATGGAATGGGAGGTTCAGCTTGCAAGAATATCTTTGGCATGATCTATAAAAAGTAGAGATGCCATTTAATTCAAATGACTGTCCTTGAAAAATGTACTTCTTAATCTATACGATTTGACAAGCACCTATTTTCCCGTTCTTTAAAAAAAGCATAAATCATAATTATATTCTAATTATGATATATAATCATGATATAATCATTACTAGATACTATAGTTGTCATAAAAATGTAGTCTCTTGAACTATTAAATAATGGGGATAGTAGAAAATTAATTTAAATATGTGTATAAATAGTGTTATTACGGAGCTACAAGAATTGAAAATCAGCTATCTAAATATCTCTTAGATTGTAAGCTGTCTTTTGTGTACTGGAGAACTTCTGATTCTTAACTCTAACCCTAACCCTGACTCCCAGTGTTTTGCAGCTAACATTCATTAGTTTACTTTTTAACCTTCCTTGGCCCTACGACAATTTTTACAATACCAGCTCTGAAGGTATAGAAAGGTATAGATTAGAGGAATATTCTGGATTCACCCATCCTTTTACTGGTGCAGAGAGTGAAGCAAACACCTGCTGTTCAAATTCCTGTGCTGTGCTTCCACTCATAGTTCATGGCTTCCGCATTCCCATACTTTCTGTGTGTTCTTTGTTCAGGTGGGAGTTTGCTGCAAAGTTCTGCTCCTGTAAATATCCCTGGGTCCCTTGGAAGTTCTGCCTCCTTTCACTCTGCCTCTCCTTCTCCACCGGTCAGCTTATCATCGCATTTCCTCCATCAGTCCCAGGGACACTTAAGCCAATCAGAAAATACTTTCCTGGGGACATCAGCTTCTCATGGATCATTAGGTAAATGCCCAATGTAAGCATGAGAGTATATCTGTTAACATGTTCACTGTCTATGCCATGTAAGTATTTTCCTTTTTTTTTTTAAATTAACTTTCATTTGAATGTTCACATTTTTGTTGCCATCTAACATGATGTATTGCCCAGTTTCTGTAAAATTAGACAAGAGTCATTAGATCTAAGGTTAGTGATAGGATTTAACTTTTTTGAACAGGACTACGTTGCAGACAAAGAATGAATCAAATAAATCCAGTATAGGTAGTCCTCGACTTAACAATTCATTTAACATGTGTTCAAAGCTACAATGGCGCCAAAAAAAGTGACTTACAAGCAGTTTACATACTTAAAACCATTGCAGCATCACATGATCAAAATTTGGGCACTTGGCAACTGGCATGTTCTATGATGACTGCATTGTCCTAGGGTCGTGTGATTGCCATTGCAATCTCCCCAGTTGGCTTCTCTTAAGCAAAGTCAGTGGGGGAAGCTGGATTCACTTAAACAATGTCATGATTCACATAACAACTGCTGTGTTTCATTAAACACTCATACCAAAAAGTCCATGAAGACTCACTTGACAACTGCCTTGCTTAGCAACCGAAATTGGTCGAAAGTCCAGTATGACTGTACCGTTGAAGACTTAATAACAAAGAATAATTACTAATTGTGCATGGATTTCAGAGGGAAGGCTGAACCTTGAACTCACATCTGATTTAGTTTGGATAGGTGATTTCAGATTGCAGCAAATTCAATCTCAAATATGCAAGTAGACCCATTCAATAGACTGAATGTAGAAGTTCAGTAACCATGTGAACAGCAGTTCAATTCCCCTGAATTCCATTTTTCAATTCTTGACTGAGGGTTTGAACTCTTTAGGAAGATCTGTTGCAATATTTATTTAATGAGTCCCAAACAGGGCAAAACTGGTTACTGATATGTCTGTTAATAATTTATAACAACTGTATGAATATGAAATGTCATTAGTTATCAGTTTTAATTCACACAGAATAAACTTGTCATACCTACATTGCTTTCACTTGCAAATATGATTCCTATAAACAAATATTCTGACAGCACCTGAACAAAATATTTCTCTTTAGATGTCAATTTTAAAGCAGCATCTGCCTTATTTTTGTGTGAATCTTACAACAGTAGGCATAAAAGCATTGATTATTTGATCAGATGTTCTAACATTGAAGTCTAGCATTAAAATGAGGCCTTGGGTCACATTTTGTGTTTAATGAAGGAAGTACTAATAACTAGCGTGTTTCGCAAATTTAAGCAATGTGCTGCTTCTGTTCTATTATATATATTATGTACATTAGACTGAGAAATTGAAGAAACATCCCAGAAGAAAACAATAACGAGCCAGGTTTTTTGGGTTACCAAGGAGACAACACAGACATGTCCATATAATCACCAGGAATTGAGTTTGATTTGATGGAAACCATGTCTTTTTCATTATATGTAACCAATCAGACTCAGAGGTAGTCATGCTGTGAAATACATTCATTGAAATCAACAAAGGAGTTGTAGATAGCTTATTGGTTTCAGTTTGCTAAATTAGGCTAATGTTTTACATCTGCAAACCAATATTTATCTAATGTCCTCTATGTTTGTATAGCATAACCGATTTTTATTCCACAATAGGTAAGACATATGAATTAAAAGATTAAGAATTGACTAGAAATTAAGGATTCATAAAAGAATTAGGCGGGAATGTTGTTTCGAAGCTGGTGAAGAGACCTTAAAATCAAGTCATATGTTTTCACGTGTTCGGTCATACATGTCTGTCGCATTTGTAATCATTTACTTTGAACAAACTCATTGCTCCATATATTGCAACACTTTTGATTTTCAGCACTGTGCAATTGACGCACTTTAGTAACTAGGGATGGCAGATCAGGCAGATTGTAAGAGATGATTGCAGAACAGACCGATGCACCCCACTGTGTAAGAAAGGACAGACAGTATTAGGATATGATTGAAGGTCCTAAACAAATATATTACACTGAAATCAATACTTAAACATTCATTTCCCAGGATTCCTTATTCAGTAATACAACTGGATTGATTCATAAGGTAATTATATCCAGTTCATTAAACTCCTTTCTCTGAAAGGAGTGTACGTATATATCATATATCTGTGCTCGGTTTGCATCATCCTTTATTTATTTATATATTAAAGTTAAAGTTATCACATACATACAGGGATATCCAGCAATGAGCATATGAGCTATTCTTATTGCAGTTGTGTACACATTGACCTGGAGGTAGGTCCTCATTTAATTAGAGTGGAACTGATTTCTAAGCTGACATGTAAGGATTGGACTGTAAAAGGCATCTCACAAAGAGGCTGCCTAAGGCAGAGGGAAAGATTATCTTCAATGAGTAATTTAGCTCTAGAATATTTGTTCCTGCAAAAACATAAACAGCTTTCATGCTTACAAAAACAGTGTCAGCAGTAACATGATAGCAAATCAACATGATGAATGACCTAAAATATGTAGAATTTTAAGAAATATTTTGTTATAAGCATACATTTCTTTATGCTTTTGAGTTCTTCTGCAATACTGTGTGCCTTCAATTTAGCAGTTCTGTGTGGTCAATTTATTTCAAGACTATAGCCATGCTTTTTATAGTGTAGCTTAAGCACTGCTGCTGAACAGCAAACTTAAACTGAAAGTAAACTATATATTCTGCGTGGAAAAAAAATATTTTCATGTGCCTGGAGCAGAGAGATACCTACAAAAACTCATTTGATTTACAGCATCTTTCCTTATCTGAGCAAATGTTTGGTAAGAAATAGATCCATCCTTGTTCTGCATACTTGCTGGATCACCCTTATATTCTGAAACTAAACACTTCACTCCATTTTTCTGTGTGATCTCTGGCAGACAGCAGAAGAGAATTAGTTTATCTCCACCAGATATGGAATGGTTGTATGCTGTGATTTAAATGGAGTAGATCCAGAAGCCTACTTTATATCGTTTTTAAGAATGAATCAATTTTACCGTATAAATGTTCTCTCAGCAGAGCAAATTAGCCAGTCCTTTTTCTCTTAGAAGTATCACTGGATTTTTACAGTCACACTTTCAATACTATATAGTGGGTGGTATATCTTTTCCCCTTAATATCAGATTCTGTGCCTCATTCCAGTGCCTTATCTAAAGATACATTGATCTGTTGTTATGAAAAGATTTCTCAAATTAACATTTGAGGATCTAGTTGAGGGCACTCTACCTTATTTTAAATTGATTGATGCTGAATAACAACAAAACAGAAATAACATTACTATAGTTTAATATACTCTATTATAATTTTTCTGTGAAATGTCCAGATGGACATTTGGTCTGTTAACAATTGTGTATTTGAAATGAAAAGAAAAGATACTGTGATATAACATATATAATACTAGGAAGAGAATGTTGTGTGTATTTTCAAAATTAAGTGGGTAGAGAAAAATTGAATAAGTGCCAACATATATTCAAATCCAAGTTTTTAGACTTCTGGCTGCATCATGAATTAGCTGTATGCTACTTTATCTTGGCTTCTGCCCACAGGAACAGCTAAACAAATTCAAATTCTTCCATCTCTCATTTCCTTAATGTGTGAACTGAGGTCTCTTTACTTCTTTCCTAATAAGACAGAGTTATCAATCGTAGTTTGCTGTGTGTTATGATTCTGGCTTCTTTAGAGCTAAACAAGTCAGAATTTTCAATTGGCTTTTAATGGATGAATCTCAGAGGGTTTCTTTAACTGTTCCCACTAACAAGAGTAGCCAATCAGGAGTGGCCAGGTAAAAAAAGACAGCAGGGCAGGGTTTTGATCATGCCAGAATTCTAAAGATATCTAACTAAATATGGCATCAAATGTGGTCCTAAAGATATTAACAAATAAAGTATGAAATAATGGGTGACTGTTTCATTTTGTTCTTAAGCATCTGTGCGCTGATTGCTGTTCCCTGAAGCCTAAGCCTTTACCGAGAGTTTATGGTATATTCGTTCCTCATGTGCTCTGTGTGAATCTGCACTAGGTAATTCATCCTGTATCTATCTACACTGCATTTGTGGATTAAGTGTACTACGAAACTGCTTCTGGGCATCGTTGGCACAAGATAGTCAGCTGCCACTCTTTTTGCTAACGCTGAAGTGGCAGACTGACAGTGCACATACATGCATATCCCTCCCAAACGGTTTTCAGATGCAGTATTGCCCAATTAAAAAAAAAATGGCAGCATTTTATTCTAGTTTTCAAAAAGATAGTTTGGGACAAGAAAAAAAAAAGTGAAATAACATGCTTTTCTTGTCTCCACGTGAAACAGGTTTAAATGGAATGAACAGCAGCATATGGGAGCATTTTGCTTCAGGAAGTTTTTCACCCAGTACTTCACCTGCATTTCTGTCAGGTCCAGGTGCTGCTGAACTGGCCAGGTTGCGGCAAGAATTAGACGAAGCTAACAGCACGATAAAACAGTGGGAAGATTCTTGGAAACAAGCCAAACAGGTAGTGTGGTTGGCAGGGTGTGTGTGTGTGTCTGTCTGTCTGTCTGTGTGGGTGTGGTTGGTTGGTTGGTTGGTTTCCTAAAGCATTCATGGTAGCCCTAGAGTAATGAGTAATTTGAGATCTAAGAGAGTAGCTGGCATAATTCATTTTGTAATGTAAGCTCCCCACAGATCTTTTTACTAATGGACAAAGAAAAAGACTGATATTCTAGGTATGCAGAGGAGTAGATTTCAAATTGTGATGCTAAGCCCAAACATTCTTGAGTTCCTCTGTGACAGAGTTCCCCAACCTTTCCAGCTTTGCAGAACGGCAGGTGGGAGAGAAGGGATAGTTCTGCGCGAGCGTCAGACACATACACTCGCTGCTCATGCAAATGGAACACGCGTGCATACGCCTGCCTGCTGCTTGCACGAATGGGGATGTGCACACCGTGCATGCTCACCCGCCACTTCTGCAGCCCGTTACAACTCAAGGCCCGCTAGTGGGCTGTAGCCTGGGGGTTGGTAACACCTGCTCTATGAGTATTCCTTTTCTAATTTGAATTTGGACTCATCTACCTAAAGGTTTCATGCAGCTTAAATTGTGCTTCACCTCTAAAATGATATTCTCTTTTCCTTCACAGTTCTCCAATATACTATTTGTTTTTATTTATTTGTTAAAGTTTTATGCTGCCCATCTCACTGATGCAGCAGCAGTGCAGCCACTTACAATACTATTCTTGACCTAGGGCAGGGGTGTCAAACTGTAGGCTTGTGGGCCAGGTGCATCATGCATAGGCCACACCCACACCAGCTCCGCAAAGGGAAAAAAAACGTCATGAAATGTCACATGACTGACATACTGTAAAAGTACTCCTTGATTCTTGCTAGGCTGGATTGATTGTTCCCTGAACTGGCTAGAGAAATTGCTGCCTATCTGCTGCTATTCTCTTCTGCTCAGCATAAAAGCTATGTTAAACTTTTAAGGGTCTATCTTAAGGAAATCTCAGGGTCCCTTTTGGTCCACAGACAGAGAAGCGCGACTGTGCATGTCCACAAAAGCATGCCGATCGCCTCTGAGCAATCACTATACTCCCCCAATGAGCTGAAACAACTGGAGTAATTATTTTAAAAGTGGTTTGAAGTGCTGGCCAAGCTGTGGGGACAACGTGCTACTCTAGACCAATTCATACATCTACACTTGTAAGAGAAAAAGCAGACTTAAATGTGCATCCTCTTCTCTTGTTGATATTTTGCTCAGAGGATTTTCTCAGAAACACGCCCTGCATTTCTCTGATCATGTTCATGTTTGAATGGGTTTGTTTCGCAGGAATTCATACAGATAGGAAAACTGATCTGCATACAAGGCATTTGAAAGGATATTTCAGAATTGATAGGTATATGATGTGTCATCAAGAGATAGAAGAATTCTGACCCCAAATTGCAAATGGCTAGAAATAGCTATTCTTCGTCATATAAAATGATTAAGAGAAGCTACTAATATTATTTTACTTTGGATACACAGGCCTGTGATGCATGGAAAAAAGAAGCAGAGGAAGCTAACGATCGTGCAAGTACAGCAACCCTAGAATGTGAGTTAGCCCGGGAACAGAGAGAAACCTTGGAACTGCAAGTCAAGAAACTCCAGGAAGAAATCGAGCGGATCCATACTGGCCAGGACCCCCAGTTCCTGCGCTCATTCTCTGATTTAGAAAATCTCTCCTTGTCCACACTCTATAATCTCCAAAAACAGTTGCGTGCCAATTTAGAAAGAGTTGATAAGGTGAGTTTGAAGTGGAGGTATGGAAACTTTACATCACATTTAACTCACGATGGGATTTTTTAATAAGTTAAATAAACACTGAAGTTTAAATGTTGGACCCTATTTTTCCTGGAAGGAATAGCAGAAGTTTTTTCATCAGGATGCAGCCCTTTCTCAGCAGAAGAGGAAATTTTGGGGTGGGGGGGGTTAGGGTTGGTGGGGGGGGGCGTGTTCTTCAGGCATGATGAAATACTAGGCAGTTGCTCTTCAGATCAAAGTGAGGCTGGCTTTTTACCTTGAAAACAGGCTCAAGTACCGGTACTCCTCAATTTACGACCGGTTATTTAACTACTGTTCAAAGTTATGATGGACCACCTGTAACAGATTACAGGTTACAACATGACTGTGTTTTGGGCTTACATGACCTCATTTTGGGCACTTGGCAACTGGCTCACCTTGATGCCATTTCCAGCATTCCATGGTCACATCACCATGATTTGCACCATTTTTTGTTGGTTTCCGACTTCTTGGTGCCAGCAAAAAATGTCTATTGGAGAAAATGGATTCACTTAACAATCATCATGTTCATTAAATAACAACAGGGTTTGCTTAACAACCACAGTGTTCACTTAACAACCTTTGTAAAAAGAATAATCCCACGATGCCTTGACTTACAACTGCAACAACTTACGAAGGTAATTCCAGTTCAATTATGGTAATAACTCAAAGACTACCTGCAATGATTAAAATCTCAATGCATTATTTGGTTTCTCTGGTATTGTTTTAAGAGACTAAAGGCAAGGAAAAGGGAATTTTGTCATAGTAGTCTTAAAAAAATTATATATTTACAAAAAAATTCTCTGTGTCCTGGTCTTATATTATATTTTAGTAATGTGTAGTGTCTAGTTAGTGCAAATATTGTAGGAAAATCATGGGAAAAAATATGGACCTCTTTCACCCCAAACTGTAAATAGTCAAAAGGTACAGTATACATTTTCTTTGCATAGGCTTCCCCTCAGCCTTTAGTTTATTTTGTTTGAAGTTGAGGAGGATGAGGATGAATTCAGTCATCTGTTGAATAAAAAGCGTCTTTCAGTCTGCTTTTATTCTTGGCAGTAGTTGGTAACCTATTCTACATTATGGAGTAGTAACTCAGTCTCCCAACCTGCTAGTGGCTTTTCAGTAGTGACCTTTAACCTTGGAGGGGAAGGGTGCTTATATTCCCATTTTTACTTAGACAGCAGAAAGTTCCCCAAATCAAGCAAAAACTATATCATCCAAACCCAGCAATTGTTACCATATTTTAGGGGTTGCTAGGGAGTGCCAAAGCTGGATGTGGGCAATGGATTTCCCTCCCCTCTCCCCCCCCCCCCATATTCTTTATGGTTGCAGACCAGGCCATTTTTCATCTAATAGTTTCCTGGATCAAGGGGTTAGTATATCAAGGGAGACCATTTATTTGACAGCTCTTCTGAGCTGCAAAATAAGTTCTGGAAAGAGAATAGAGAAGAAGAAGAAAGTTACCTACACCAGTTAGAGTAGGGGTATGGCCCGGATGGGTCACATGCTGGCCCCACCCCTGCCCGGTTTAGCAAAGAGGGTGGAAAGTCCCGATACATCACATGATGATGCTGTGACGATGCAAGTTTGACACCCCGGAGTTAGAGGAACAGAAGACTGGATTGTTACATAGAAAACTGAGCTAATGAAATAGTCCTTCTGTCTATGGAGATTCTCAGTCATCCAGGTCATGGTTGTCCCAAAGGTGCTTTTTCAAGAGGCAACTGGGCTTTCTGGTTTTTCTCTGAAGACGTTTTGCTTCTCATCCAAGAAGCTTCTTCAGCTTCAGAGCTGAAAACCAGAAAGTCCAGTTGCCTCTTGAAAAAGCACCTTTGGGAAATGCCTTTCTCTTTTGAAACCCCCTCCCCCAGCCCCTTGGACTATCTCTGGCTCCTTCAGTAGTTGTTTATTGAAGATAAAAACAGTTGTCCCTGAGGGCCATTCTGTTTTACTAACAATCCCCCTTGTTTCTCCTTTCTCCCACCCCACTTCTTCTCTTTTCAGGCAGTGTTTCAGTTGCAGTCGGTGAAATGCCTCAAGTGCCAGGAAGAGAACCGGGTGGTACTACCGTGCCAACACACTGTGCTGTGTGAAACATGTGCCGAGGAGGGTGAATGTCCCATCTGCCATCCCAACAGGCCACATGCTCTCCAGTCGTGACTGTACTAGGACATTTGTTTAGCATATCACATAGAATTTTTAAACTTTTTCAGACCTATATATTATATATATATATATATATACACATATATATATATATACATATATATGTCTATATATATCTGTGTGTGAATGTGTGTGTATATATGTACGTATGCACACACACACATAAAAACAAAATATTAGTTGCAGAGCACTTTTTTAATACTTTGCATCTCCCATTTAAAGGATCCCTGCTCCCAACCCATGCAGTCCCATTAATTCTAACACATTAGGGACTTTTAGAGCAGTTTTTTAATATAGATCAAAGGGCCATTTGCAAAATCTGTTTCTCCTCCCTCCCTTTTTTAATTAGGAAATAATCTTTTTTTAGCCTTTTCTGGAGAGATATTTAGAGGGAGGATGAAGAGAGTTTGCAAGTGATTTCCAAGCTAAGGATTGGGTTTTGGGGGAAGAGAAAAGATAGAAATAAATTTTCAATTCATTTCCTTCTTTCATACTATAGTATTTAGTATTTTTATTTGTATCACAACCATTACAGGTGTGCAAAGCCTTTGAAGCAACTCTTTTGCAATGCACAAAAAGGCAAGACATCTTTCTTTAAATTGCTAAAGCAGCTGTATTTTTTGCAATGTTCACTCCAGGAATGGCTTTCAAGGCTGCTGGGTAAATCTTGCAAAAGGATGATTTGTTTTAACAATTAGAAGAGTGATGCTTTCTTCATGCTGTGTGCTTTCTGAAACACTTCTTTCACAGGCTTTATGCAGCCATAATAATCTTACCCGTGCTGGTCAGTAATCCCTGCTTATGAGCCTCAATGATTCAGCATTCTTGTGGCCTCCAGTATTGTGAAAGTTTCTTGACTTGTCTCTTGGAAAACCAAAAGTTCCTTTTTTGAAAATCATTTTGCATACTTCTTTAATTCTGTCCAAGGAATAAAAACACAAAACACACTGTAGAGGTGAGGCCAAGGTTAACATACTTTTTTTCATCAGCATTACTCTGCAGTAAGACTTTGAGAAACTTCAGTAGCACTTTTGAGTGGGACCTTGTAAAGAAAAAGTTTAGATTTGTAATCTGCATTATCATGGAAATGGAGAAGAGTTTCAGAATCAGGCTTTGATAATGGAGCCACTTAGAGTCTTTTTGGTCTGTCTAAGAGAACTTTATAACTCACCAAACAAATTACAATCCATTAAATTTCCTAGATTTTTACCTCCCTGCAGAAATTGAGCATTTTAGTTTTTTTTTTTTAAAAAAAACAGATTACAGATGGCAATACATAGTGGGCTGTGCTTGGCTCAGTAATCTAACTTGTTTAGTATTGAATACTTGGTATTTCTTGCCAGTAGGAAGAAACAAATCAACACATTTCCTTTATTATTCTTATCTATGAATGGTGCTGTCACAAGTGTTGTAGCTAAAAGCAACCAATGGCCCTTTGTGCATTCAGAAATGGGGAAGATGCAGATTTGCAGCACAAAATCACCTTTCCTGAACTGCGCAGCACTTCATATTGTTAACTTAGGGTAAGTGGTCACCAACACAAACATGGGCAGAATGCCGCAGAGAAGATGTATTTTTATCTGCCTGTCATAAGGCAAAGTGATTTCTTTTCCTATCTTTATCCACATTTAATACAAGAAAACGTCTGATAAGGTTTACATAATATAGCTGACAACTTTTGTTAGAGTTGCAAACTGAACGAAACTTGGATTCCCTAAATTAGTAATTTCTGCTAAAATACAGAATTATGGTGAAAAACAGAAAAAAGACAGTTTTGCAAACATTTAGAAGCCCTTGTATGAATTTGGTCGCAGGATGTAAGTTCTCAAAATGTTTCACACTGAACATAAATAGCTAGAAGTGGTGAATGTAACAGTGCAGAATGAAAACTGATGAAGAATGTGAGATGTCACAGTATCCTCCTTTGAGATTAGTTAGCTGTTTAGGAATTAAAGCTCTTAATCCACTTTCTTATGATAGAATTATCATGAATACCACAAGGGCCACATTTCACCACATGAAAGAGAAAGAGAAGGGAAAGTTATGCTCAGAAACCACACTGCTTCAGTTCCAAAATACATTCCTTTTTCCTTATTACTAGGAAATTTTCTCATTTCCTTGAAATTTCTAAGCTTTCCTTGAGCATCTACATTAGGTGTTCTTCAGGGATCAATTATGTTAATCCCATGTTTCACTAGTCACCTTCTTGTGACCATTCTCTTGGGGATGGGAATATTTTTTGAGCTTACACAGGATACACCCTGTGTTTGGAGAATCCAAAGAATGATTCTAAAGAGGAGAGGAGAGAAGTATTTACTCCTGCAGTTCTATTTTGGCATTTATACCGCCAATAAGAAATGTTTTCCTTCCTGCTGCTCTGCTTTTCTTCACAAAGTATCTCTTAATTTTTACCTTTAGTTTAGCATCACCATTAACTCCCCTGGTAAGTACAAATTCTCTTTCTGGCTGGGTACCTGCCAGCAGACAACTTCAATGAAGACAGTGTATATCATCCCCAAATGACTGAAATGTCTGAATTTCTACGCATGTTCCTTGTCGTGGACTTACTAGACAAATACCTAAATCAGACAATATGGGCAATCTTTTGTCCTGGATTGAAATGACCACTCTTATTATCCACTTTCTGGATGCAGTGCATCCGGTCCAGGGGAATACATAAGTTTGGCTTGTTTAAAACAGATGGACAGTAACTAACTGTCAAGAGTAAGTGTCTTGAGACCCAGGCAACAATCAGCTGGGTTTGCAGGAATAGCCATTTATTTCTCATGCTTTTGTGGGCCAGCTTGAGTTAAATGTCCAGGCTCTAAGCAGATCTTATTAAAAATCAGATTTTAAAAAAATGTGGAGTAATTCTAAGCATGTTTACACAGAATTTAGCCCAACTGAACTCACTAGAACTTGCTTCCTAGCCAATGTGCTTCAGAGTGCAGCATCAGCTAATCACTTCCTTTGAGAATCCATGTGCACTCTCCCCAGAGTGTTTTACAAAGGAGTGTCAAGTCACTGATTATGTTGATAGTTTGATTATGTGTGTTAAGTTCTAAAAAAAATGATATTGGGGCCTAAATCCAACTGACTTTCAATGAAATTTATGGTTTTGAATATTTCTTTTTTAAAATTTGTATCCAGTGAATGTGTTGTCCTACTGTCCCTGAGTGATAGACTTCTCACTGCAGTTTGTTCTTACTCAGACAGCGCAACAGCTTCCAGTCGATGAAAAGCAACAGTCCACTCTAGAAGGACTCTAATCTGCCACTTTGCACTGGGAGTTGTTTAATGTGTAAAAGTGTAATATTTAGAATTTACTCTCACTCCCTTGCTCACCAGTCTTGCTTTGTTTGCAGTAGTTGACCCTCTTTCCTAACCTAAAAAAGCACTGGAAACTCTGTCTTCATAAGAGGGATCCAGCCATTCACCATCAAGATAGTTTTTCCATGTGTAATTCAAGTACATCATTAGATTTGCTTCCATAATTCCGCCCTTCTATATTTGGGGGGTTAAATATGCATTCCCAGATAATCTCAAAGTGCAGCTCTGGTTAGGTTTTTTTTAATTAACTTTTATGTTTGATAAAACTGCTTTTTTCAATGTGTATGTTGTACTAGTATCTGTTTTCTTCCATTTTTTTTTAAAAAAAAAACTTAATTGGCTTTTTTATGTATGGAGAGACACTGCTGGCTGACTCTTGTAGCTGTGTTGTTTTTGGTTATAGCCTTTGAATGTCTGTGCCATGAGGCATCCCTGGTCTCCGTGATCAGGAAACATGCTTCAGTCTTAAAGAAAGCTTGTTTGTTTAAAATATGTGAACATTTTTTTAAAAAAATACATACAGATACAATACATTTAAATTATGGGGAATAATACTCTGCTGGAAATGTACTAAACTATTTTGGTAACTAATTTAAAAATAATAGGAAATAAAATCTTTGAATCGGGTCTATAGTGTTTATGCAGAATTGCAGCCATTTGCAGATGCTCTAGTGGTGATTGATTTGTAACACTTACTTTTGTAAACATTGTGTTTTATTGCTTCCTCTGCCTTTCTATGTGATTGTCCATGGTGAATTGTTGACTTTGTGGGATGATCTGATTTATCCTGAATTGCCATAGCTTTATTAAATTCAGCAGAATTCTTTAGGAAGTGTGTCACCATTCGCTTGGTGTCACTTAAAGTTAGATTTTTTTAAACAAAATCTTTTTCCAAGAACTGACAACTCTTGTACAATATTGTTGCTTACCCAATTCCTATCCCAAACTCCATTGGCAAATTGCTGGTGGAATGTGAAAAAGAAATTTGTGTGTGAAGCCGGCTATTTACATGCATGCCACAACCTACTCTGTCTGTCTTATTTTGAAGGACCAAAGAATACAAAAAAATTTAAAAATTCCCCCATTGTTATAAATAGCTTAACAGTTTCTTATCCAATTATGTCCCCTTCACCTGCCTCATTGATATCAGTATTATAATTGGGCAAGAGAATATAGCAGTAGATTGGTTTATCTAAACCTGGGAATCAAGAAGGACAAGTATATCTCTATCCCACTCTTTTAAAAAGCACTTTTTTTAAAAAAAATGCTAGATTTCTATGAATTTTAATATTGAAAATGAAATACCTGAAATGTGAATGTTTTATTAGTTATCAAGTGAAAAAAGCAAAAATGGCTTCTCTGTTTTTTTAAAGATTTAATTCTGTATTAAATTTCTGTATAGGCAGTTTTGTTTACTGAGGTGATTGAGAGCAATTCTGCTCTATTCTGCCAGCAATTGTCCATTAGAGGATCTGCGCAATTCCTCTCTTTTAAACCAACAGAGTCTGTAGCTTCTGCCTGTCAAAAATTGGGGTTCGTGAGTAAATCATCCCTAATAAAATGCCAAAGGAATTGTGTTTGGATTATGGAATTCCCCACACAGTTGAGCATAAAGCCTCTCGTCTCCCAACTCTGCTTTTTCAGCAAAGTCCTAACTAGCAAAATGTAATACATTTCCACTGTCCAAAGGTCTTACAGAGTTGGAGGTCCGGCTATTAATACTACTCACTAATCCAAACTAGACATTTTCATCTTGCTATGAATATGAGAAAAATGAATATTTTATTTGCAAAATCCACATTATTCAGAGAGGTCAGTAAATCTATATGAGGTATATAGGATAGTTGATTAATTGAAGAATTAATCGGGAAGCCTCTAAGTGCCCACATGTGTTCCTTCCTCTTAAGGTGAATGGTTTTGTGAAGGTGAGGTATTGCACCTTTCAGTCAAGCATTGCTCCTCATCTGCAGGGCTCCGATAGAAGAGATAGTGGCCCCTTGCTTGTGCTTACCGTCTCCTCTTCCTCAAGTATGAAAAGGAAGTTGAACTCATTTACATCCATTTGAAACATTCACAGCTTGCTGTGCTGTTTGAACTTCTACAACTGCCTTTAGTGTTAATTGTGGTTAATGGAAACAAACCATCATTAAAACATAACTTGAGAAACTAGTTAATTTTTTCACTAAGGTTACCTGCAGATTCGTGTTCAGACATAATACAAAAATACAGTCAAAACTCAAAAGTAGATCTTTTGAACAGAAATGCACAAACTCAAAGCTAATTTGGGTCACCTTGTTTTATTAAATCACAGTTCAGTCATAAAAACAGCAGAACAGAGACACCACATGGAAGCCTTGCAACTATTCCCTAAATATTCCTAACATTTCTTTCTTTTATAACCAGTATATGTGTGAGGGAGTCTCTTCATTATAATTTTTAATTCTCTCCCATCCCCCCAATATAGCAACCTTTGAAGTAATGCAATGAGAACATAGATGTTTCTGGTGAGAAGTATTATAAGTGAAGTGTTCCTCAAATCTGGTGACTATGGATCAAAAATCTCTATAGGGCTTTCCCACTTTGTAGCTTCCAGTGTTTTAAACAGAACATAAATAATACAATATAAATTCTTAAAAACTACACACTGCAGTATTTATGGTGGCACTTCTTAACCAGTCTCTTTCCTTGGATTTTCCATGGTAGGGAAGGTGGCTGGTGGAGGGAGAGCCATTCCAATCTGTGTAGAAGTCAGCCAAAAGATAATAATAATAGATGGTGTGTACAATGTGGTGTTTGATTACATTATTATAGACTGTAATACGGAACTGTGATTTCAGCTATTGTTCTTTCTCGTACTCTGTATATATGTGTGTTTGGCTGTCCAGAAACCTAATTTTAGACACTCTTTCTTGGCAAAGTGAATTTGCATGTGGAGCTGAAACAAAATGCGATCTTATGTCACAATTTCCAAAGGCAGGATGGATTTTCTAGAAGACAATAAATTTTTTTATTTTTTTTTCTAAGAAAAAAAGGTAGCCATTTTGTTTGTGCATTTGTTTGTCTGTATTAGAATGTACATGTGGTGTCACTTGGATTATAAGAGAATATTTACTTCATATTTAGAAGGTAGGGAAGTAAGGAACAATTCCTTGCATATTATTGATAAAGTATCTCACTAGAACAGTTTTTTCTGTTCAAGCTTCAGAAAAGTAAAAAGATAGTAAGTGTTGGCAAAGCTTGACAGAGCTTCTGCCTGAAGAGTATTTTATGGGTTGTATGTAAAGAAATGTGTCACCTTTTTAGTTTTTGATACTATGGAAACCATAATATGTCTTTAGAGAAATCTGAAGACAGTGTACAGTAAAATAAGTTAATATTGTATTCATATACTAAAATAAGTTAATATTGTATTCTATAATTCA